CAACTTTGCCTGAGAGGCAAAGATCCAACATTTCCATAATATTTCCTTTTGATATGCTGTATTTTTCGGAATATAAGACGCACCTTAGTTTTTGGGGAGGAAAATAAGAAAAAAGCTGATTGGCAGGTGGATTGGCCTTCCGGAATACCCCCAATCAGCTGTTCCCAGAAGTGAATTTTAGCAACAGGTTTCTTGGTTGTGAGCTCTGTGCCTTGCCTTTTTTTTTTTTTTTTGCTTTTTTTTCTGCCTCTGCAACTCCATTTCAGAAAAAACTTTTTTTTTCTGCCTCTGAAAGCCTCCGAAACAGAGCTTCAGAAAAAAAAAAAACCGTCTGAAGCATTGTTTGGGGGCTTCTTTTCTGAAGCTCTGTTTAGGGGCTTCTTTTCTGAAGCTTCATTTCTGATGCTTTTTTCAGCCTCTGAAACCTCCCTTTGAGAAGCTGGGCGGGGCTACATTCGGATATAAGACACACCCAGATTTTCACCCTCTTTTTTGGGGGGAAAAGGTGCGTTTTATACTCCGAAAAATATGATAATACCACAGGAGGACACCAGGCTGGTTCAGAATGGGTTCTTATCATTGGCAAGAATACTTGGGGCTGTTGCCTATATTAAAAGGAAGAAAAGGAAGGGATGGTTGCCCTTAAGTTCTTAGGGACTTCTTCCCTAACTGGTGGGATTCAGCCGGTTCCCTCCAGATCGTGCGAACCGGTAGCGGTGACTGCAGGAGACTCCGCCCACCTGCCCGGATGTAATGTGCGACTACTGCACATGCGCAAAAGGCCGTGTGCATGCACAGAAGTGGCGCGAACCAGTAGGGAAGGTAAGTGAATCCCACCTCTGCTTCCTCCCTGTATTTTCAGGGAATATTTGCAAATGGTACTTAATCTTTAAACCACCAGAAACATTTTGTTGTGAGAAAACGCTATCTTACTGCAACATAATTTTGTTTACGATGTTGTGTTTTGCTGTTTTCTTTCTTCTTTTTTTTTTAATCTTTTAATCTAAACTGGATGTTCCAAATGAAAAGGCAGGAAATTCCATTAATTGCTCCTAATCTTTGCTGATCAGAGTAAATCAATGATTTATGTGCTGCTCCACAATCAAGAGCCCTTGCATGGAGAGAAAACATGTTGATCCACCACCAACAAAACCAAAGTACCCTATGGGTAAGTCCTTGTAAGGATTCACTCACCCACACAGGGAATTCAATGTGCCCAGAAACATTTGCAGAATTCTTGAATACACACTATGGGATGTCCAGTCCCAGCCTAAGAATTAAATTGATTTTTAAAATGCCTGGATTGAAACTTGGCTACCCAGCAGCCTTTGCAAAAACAAAATGCAACTGTGTAAGGTTTGTAATTGTAATATTAAGCCTCCTGCCCCTACCAGCCAGTACCCAAAGAGCCACTGTTGGCTTAAGTACAATGGTGCCTGTTTAAACAGTCAGAACATGCCTCTGTCCTGCTCACAGCCCCGTTGCCACCTGACTTCACCTTTTATGGGATTTATGAGCTGGCAAATGACACCACCTAAATGGTTGTTCAAAGTTAATTGAAGATCATGGGGAAGGCATTGAAAGTTCCTAAATAGAAAATCCTCATTTTTTAAACCATAGAGTAAGCAATGAGGAGAATACCAAAAGAGGAATCTGAACCCTAATATTATTAATATGTTACAAATTGTTTTTAAAGCTTCTGAGATTTCATATGCAGTTTGGACAAAGGAGAAAAGGGATCAGCAGAGAACTATCAAATCCACATTGTGTGCAATATTGAAAGATACATTCCTCTTAGGAGTGAGCACATATTGGTGTTCAATTCTCACTTTAAAAATTTTGGGGTTCAATTCTGATTTTTTTTAAAAAAATGGAAATAGAATTGCCACACAAACACAAACACAAACACTCCACCCAGTTACAACCCCAATGTCTCATTAAGGAATTATAATGACAAATATTGTTTATATATTTCAGATAGTTATGCATTTAGGGATGAGCATATTTGACAGATAATACTGATCTTTTGAAATAGTTTCTCAGCTCTCTTCTTCAATCTGAAAAGCAGCAGAATAGTTCTGTCTTTTCTTGCCAAATTACAAAGGCTTTTGTTTTCTGCAGATCAATTTTCCATACTCGTGTTTCCCCGAAAATAAGACTCAACCGGAAAAGAAGCCCTAGCTTGATTTTTCAGAATGCTGATAATATAAGCCCTGCCCCCAAAATAAGCCCCAGTTAAGATCGTCGGCCAGATGGACACATTTAGTACCATATTTTCCCCAAAATAAAACCTAACTGGAAAATAAGCCCTAATGTGTCTTTTGGAGCAAAAATTAATATAAGATCCAGTCTTATTTTTGGGGAAACATGGGCAGTTGTATATTTCCTTAGTTAGTACAGACAGACCAATTCCATTCTCCACAGTACAAAATTATGCCTATTTACTGGTTTGAGGCACAAGGAGCTGTCTGAAGGAGGAGATTTGGAGTTTGTGTTTATATGCACAGATGTTTTACACATGAAAAACGGCAGATGGGCATAAAGTATGGGTTTTTTTCAATGTTTATACAGTAAACCAGTACTTCTAGATCCTTCTTACAAGCATTGTTGCCAAACTAGATCTCCCCAGTCCTGTATCTATAAATTTGATTTTCCGTAAAATGCAGGATCTTAAATTTATCTCAGTTTAACATTATCCTATCAGATTTGTCCCATTGTTCAATTCTCTCAAAGTCAGTTGGATTCTAACTCCTAGATATCCTCTGATATATGAGCAAACCTCCTAACATTATCTGAACATTTAAAAAGCTACCCTGTCATTTCATTTTCTAGATTAGTACTGTATTTCTTAGGCTTTTTTCTTTCAGGAACTATTTTAAAAAATTACGGGGAATCCCAAAACAGCTTTAAGGAACATTGCTATAATGAATAGCTCTGATTCTTCTTGATACTTCTTTTCTAGGATGTTGAAGGCTTTAATACTTTTAGGGTGAGTTTGGTTAAACAAACCAAAATGCAACCCACAAACTGCAGTACTGTCTAGCCCATATTTATCCATTTGGTCCAGAAGGATGTTAGGAGAGACCTTGTCAAACGCTTCATTAAGCTGCACTACAAACTCAGCATTCTCTTCATCTATTAAAGTAGATAATGTTTCTTTTGTTTTTTAAAAATAATGCATGGATTCTCCCTGACAAACTCGTGCATGCTGCTTAGTAACAATGGTATTTTTTTCTAAGCATTCTCCAGGACAGTGATGGCGAACCTTTTAGAGACCGAGTGCCCAAACTGCAACCCAAAACTCACTTATTTATCGCAAAGTGCCAACACAGCAATTTAACCTCAATAATGAGGTTTTACTACCTAAAATAATGCTAAACAAGGCAGAGTTCAGCTAATTATTCTAAGAAAAACGTGATAAATGCATTTTTATGCCCCTTCATTTTTTTTTTCTGCTTTGAAATATTACCTTTAGCAACAATAAAAAAGAAAAACTTTTGCAATATCATATCTCTTTCCCTCCCTTTTTTCTTCCCTCCCTCTCTCTCTCTGTCTCTCCCTTTCTCCCCTCTTTCTGTTTCTCTTTCCCTCCGCCCCCTCTGTTTCTTTCCCTCCCTTTCTCTCTGCCTCTTTCTGTTTCCCTCCCTCCCTGTCTGTCTCTTCCCCTTTTTCTTTCCCTCCCTTTCTCCCTCTCTCTTTCCCTCTGTGTCATCTATCATCTATCTATCTATCCCTCCATCCCTCCATCTATCATCTATCTATCTATCTATCTATCTATCTATCTATCTATCTATCTATCTATCTATCTATCTATCCATCTATCCATCTATCTATCTATCTACCTGTGCTCTCCTACCCAGCTTCACGTGTCATGTAAATCTAACCTCTTGGGCTGTGGAGGGGGGAGTGAAAGCTGGCAGGCAAAGCCAAGCATTAGAGATCCACACAAAATAAGGCAACTCCAACCTGGATCCTGTCAGGGAGACACCCCCCCTTCCCTCTGTCCCCGTGGCGGGGGCCTGGGCCACCAGACCGCAGCTCCCTCCTCGGAGACAACCAACAAGCAAACAAACATGGCACTCTGGCTGGGAGGCAGTGGCATGGAGCCCCATGTCTGGCTGGCAAGAACGGAGCAGGCAGGGTGCATGCCTTCCCTGTCCTGGCACTGGCCGGGATAGACACGCAAGCCAAACGTTTGGAGCCACACTTGGCGGAGTTTGCAAGCAGGCTTGGTGGGGCCGCTTAGCAGGGAGGGAGACCCTGTTTGGTTTGCTTCAGCGCAGGGTGGGATCGCAGAAGGTGGAGGAAATCCATGCCTCTCGACATTCAGCCCTCAAAGACTCCCTTGGGGTGACTGTGAGGGGAGGGCGAGGGGCGGGGCCAGTCAGTGATGGGATCCCCTGACAGGGAGCCGCAGCAGAGAGATGAAAGAGCCCCCGGCTTGCTGACAGCACCCTATTGCATACTCTGTGCTGGGGCAACGGCGCATGTACCCATAGAGGGCTTTGCATGCCACAAGTTCACCACCCAGGGCTCTAGGATCTTGCCTAGAAAAAAAAATTAAACTGGCTTGTACTATAGATTCCAAATCATTCCACTCCCACCCGTTTGTTTGTTTGTTTTAATATTAAGATTGTGTTTGCTGTTCTTCGGTCTTCAGGATCTTCATCCGTTCTCCAGACTTCATGGTTTATCTTTCACTCAGCTGACTGGCCTTCCAGGATCACCTGATTTCCCAGGCCACACAGATCCTGAGTCAGTATAGCGGCTTCCTAATAAACACTGCAACCATCATAAATATGAACCAGCTGCCAAGCAGACATATTTTGATCATTGGGATGCTGCAATAGTTGTAGGTGTGAAAAATAATCATAAGTCACTTTTTTCAGTGTTCTTGTAACTTCAAACAGTCACTAAATGAATTGTTGTAAATTGAAGACTCTGTGTGTGTGTGTGTGTGTGTGTGTGTGTCGGCAAGATATGGATTGATTACAGGGATAGCAATTTCATGCTTGTTTAATGTTCTACCTGTTTAAGATTGGATGGAATGAATTATAACACAAGAGACTGGGAAGGCCATCATGTATAAAGCATGGGTAATGGGCATTGCTTCAACTTTTCTTGATTGCAGCATCTTGCAGTCACATCACAGCAAAGAAAAGGAAAAGGAAAAGAAAAGAAATATATAAAGAAATCACCACAATTATGAAGAAGTTTGGTAGTTCTTCACCACCTATAAGTTACAAACAGGCATCTCTTCTTCCCATAACCCATCTCTTATCTCTAAGCAAATCAATAAGGTATCAACTTTTCAATTCTAAGGTCAACAAAAAGCCCATAAATGATTGCTAGAACTTTATAAAAACATGCCTTATTTTAACATTGATCAAAAAACCTAACTTTATATGCCTTGCTTTTACTTCTGAAAATCTTAATTGTTTATTCCACCAAATGTTCATAGAGTTTGATCTCTCTTCTGCTTTGTCCCCTGGAAAAGCTTCTTTGAGGCATCTACAAGCTTGTTTTGTAAGTCCAATAAAAAGACATGATAATTACCAGGCCATATGAAAAAGAAATAAGATACTTAATTATTCACATATTGACAGCAGCACGAATAGTTTTCACCCAAAACTGGAAAAACAATGACATACCATCAGAAGACAAGGTGATTAGAAAAATTATGGAATGTGTGGAAAGAGATAAGCTCACAAAGGAGATACAAGAAAAAGATGAAACAGATTACTACTTAGTCAGGGAGAAATTGTATAAATGGTTGGAGGAGAAAGGGAAAAAGGAAAAAAAAGGGGGGGAAACAAAAGAAAACTAAACAATGGTTAAATTAGGTGGAGAAATATGGAAACAAACGGGATGATATAAATTGTGGAAAGGAAACTAGGTACCTGTTTATGTTAAATGTAAATAAAATATTTAGATTAAGAGAATATAAATATATGATATACTAGGAATATATGTATAAGAGATAGATTAAGATAAGAAAGAGAAAATGTATAAATATAGATTACTGATGCGAAGATGTTGAAAAGAAGATGTAAATATCTATTTTTGTATGTTATTTTGTTTGTATGTTTATTTGTTTGTTTGTTTGTATTAAAAAAAAAGACATGATCCAAGTCCTTCTCTTGGTTTATCATTTGTATTTCCACTTTAATTTTTAAAAATTCAGCCAACTTCTTTTGTACATTCAGTAATGAGTTCTTATCTAGGCAATTTTCTTGGCGGATCACTTGTATTTTCACTTTAAATGCCTTCTTTGTCTTCTAATCTATACTTTTTATTGAATTATCCAATAATTAATTAAATATTTACCCAATATTTCTGCATCAAACAAGCTTTGTTTTGTATGCATCATTCCTTTATTAACATCTTTTGAACATAGCCTATCTATAGAAGCAGACATAGTTACTGATATTGCTGATATTGTACCAATTAATTTCTGGCCCCATTCCACAACTGTTTCCTAGTATTTGAAATATTATAGCACTTTGTATCATTTTTAAAATCCCAATACTGATCAAAACCAAAAGCAGCTTTCTAAGGTTTTTTCCCCCTTTTTGCCTGGAATCTTTACTCTCCTCCAGTGTCTAATTTAATTATAAATTCATTAATCTTTGTTATGACTTATTTATTTATTTATTTATTTTATTTTATTTCTATACCGCCCTTCTCCTGCGGGACTCAGGGCGGTGTACAGCCGAGATAAAACATTGCATATAAAATTTAAAAACAGTTTTAAAAACAATTAAATAATTTCGGCCCAAGATTTAAAACAACCCAATTAAAACCGAATTCAATTAAAACTGAGAGGATGGGATCAAGATATAATAGACAAAATAAATTTGGTTCTTATGAAAAGCTGGGAATATATATATATATATATATATATATATATATATATATATATATATATGTTTAGTTTGAAATTTTTATAGTAAGTTTCAATTTTCCAAATTTCTTTGAGTCCTTTTATTTATATATATTTTTAGATTGAAATTGTATTTAGCTTTTTGCCATTACTTCAAATTATTCAAGTACTCAAACATATAGTTAATTTTTCTTTTGTTCAGAAATGAATATAGTCTTACCAGGTGGCTTTTCAAATTTGTTGTTCCGAAGATCTTTAATAGCTTTGTTGGTTAAGTAAGATGGTAAGATGACTGATCCCTGATCCTTGTTTGCAGAGGTTCCAAAGAATCTGTCTATTCACTGGATCTTCAGTCTTTGCTGCAATCATCATCTCTGCTCTTTCAAAGACACATTTAGTCTCCATATCAATAACAAAACTGGGGTCAGAATGCTGTCACACACAAAAGATCCAGGTCTGAGTTTCTTTCTTCATTGTCATAGCAGAAGGGGAAAAACAATGAAATGGAAATAATTCAGATCAGTGAAATTCAAATCAACAAAAAAGGGAATGTGAAATATACAGTATTAACTATGTTTCATAATTAAATAAATACATGGAATGAACTGTGCACAATTTTTAGCTTAGTTTTGCCTTGTCCTCAAAATGTCCAGGCATTTTCCTTGGAAGGAAGAGCAAGTTGAGATTACCTTCTTCAAAGATATTCTTCACTTTCCCAGCCTAACCTACAGCCCTGGGATTCCCTGGTTCTCTCCTGCATTAGAAGCTTGGAAAAGGCAAATGTGTTGTAAACCCACAGCAATGTTTAAGAGAGCTCAAAAGAGATTGGGAGATATTTCATTTCACGGTAGAAATATTTCAGATGAATTTCTATTGCTTACCCACTCACTTTGTTAAGAGGTTTTTACTTTTTTAAAACAGGCAACAACGGTAAAAACTGTGTCTAAGTAGTCCTCATTTAATAGCTGCAATTGGGATTGACAATTTAGTCACTAAGTGAAGTGGTTGGTAAGTGAAATTTCACAATTTTACAATCTTATTTCAGCTTTACAGACCTGTGAAGGTCATAAATGGGAGTATTGGTCACAATGGTTTTTTTTTAATCACCGTTGATTGTTAGTAATCACTAAACGAGGATTACCTGTCTAAGCAATGAAAACAGGATGAATCAATAAGCCACAAGCAAGGATGCCTCTTTAGGACACACGAAGAAACTTTGAGGTGCTAGGGTTTGCTAGGCATGTCCTTTCTGTGCTGCCATTTGAGCCCTTCCTTCCAGCTTATTTTCAGCACTGTCAGAGAAATGTTGGAAGAAATATCCTTCTGGGTCAGTTCCAAGTAGGGGAAAAGACACTGGAAACATGAAGACTGCTTGGAAAGATGGTTTAAATAGTGGACAGGATCACATGGTTTGAGTTCCTGAGCAGAAAAGGGGTGAGATGCTGAGCATGCCTTGATTTTATGCCCTCACTGGGTTCTGAACTTCCTGGGGCACAGGAAGAGTATCCTGATTGGTTGTCAGACTCCCAGGGGGTGGAGGTCTTAGCTAGCCTTGCTGGCTGATATAATCTTCCCAGGCGCCATGGGGTGAGTTTCTGTTGCTAGATGAGTCCTATTGTGTTGCAGATGATGGTCCATTGACAAAGGTGGGGAGAATGAGTGAGCTTGGCTGAGGCCTTAATGGCCCATTTACAAAGGTGGGGGGAGGCAGGAAGCTGCTTTGTTTTTAAAACATGTTTCTCCATTTCTCATCCAGGGAAATATAATATTCTGCCTTTTTAATATTTCCTAAAATATTTCATTCTTCTAGGAGAGGGGTGGGTGATAACTTCCTACAGAAGGAGATGGAAATCACTGCTGTTTGGAGCAATCAATGTACTCTCCTAAATCTTTGTAAAAAAAAACAACAACACATTGTAAAAAGATTTTACAATGGACCCTCTTCTCTGATGGTTTGGAATTGCACAATACTTTAGAATGACCGCTAGGTGGCAGTGTATTTTGTCACCTCTCAGAATCTTCATGTAAAAGCTACTATTGAAAATTATATGGGATATAATGTTGAGGACAGGAAAGAAAGAAGTCCCTTTATTTTTATATCCTTTGCTGCTTTGTTTCTTTGTTTTTTGTTTTTACTCGTAAAAGCCTTTTTAAAGCCTCATTTTCCATTGGCCAGCATGGGAACGTGCCCCCCCTCCCCCAGTTAACCAGGATGCAAACATATCTCGAAACTGCAGGAAAATAGCATTTTAAAAACACAACAATGCTTGCATTCATAGTACTAATTAATAATAATTGTGAGTTTTACAGAGGTGCCTTAAAGCAAGGCACTTGAAGGGTGTTATGAATGATTGGCCTTGTGAACCCACCCAGCATTAATCTAAGAAACCCATATTCTCAAAATGTGAGGCTCCTCAGGTGCTTCCAAGCTGAGGGCTTTAATATCAGGCAAGAGGCATTCTGCAGCTAAGTCATTCTCCCCCTTGTAAAGGATTTTTCTTTTCTTTATTTGGTGGAAATAAAAAGGACAGGAAAAGCTGGCAGAGCAAAGGGAGGAGGGAGGGAGGGAGGGAGGGAGGGAGGGGGGACAAAGAGGGAGGGAGGGAGGGAGAGCGAGGGAGAGAAAGAGAGAGAGAGAGAGAGAGAAAGAGAGAGTGAAAGAAAGAGAGAGAGAGAGAGAGAGAGAGAGACCCCTGAGGGTTACAAAAAGAAGGTAATGTCAGGCTCTCTTGTAAATTTATGAGAATGAGGCTGTGAAATTGCACAATAAAAGTCTAATCTGGAAGCGAATTCCTCTCCTGATTCAATTGCAAATGGATCGGCAGAGGAAGCGAGAATTTTAGAGCCCCTGCCAAAAGGGGCTCTAAAATGCCAGACCTGGAAGCCCTCCTCTTTGGAAAACTGGTTCCTCGCCAGAGTGGCTTTTGACACCTAGAAAGCAACCTTGGAACGCATGACGCATTTCGCTTCTTGAAAATGTTCCTGTTTGCTCAGAATTTTGTCCTAGGACCAAAAAAAAAAAAAGTTACAAGCTGGATTCAAGCATTCATTTAAATCACAGTTGAGTGAAGGGTGGGAGGAGGTTAAGCTGTTTGAACTATACATAGTCCTTGACTTATAACCAGTCGCTCAGCGACCTGTTTAAAGTTATGACAATCCCTCCCTGTAAGGCCCTTAGGGTTCCAAAGCCCACCCCACCCCATGGTCACATGACCACATTTCTGGCATTTGTCATCTGGCCTGTAGCATCCTGCAATCATGATTTATGATGTTTTTCCCCAAAAGTAGCATTTACTTCCATTATTTGGGGGGGGTGGGTGTAAAAACAACCATTGTGATCAATGAGTTTGCTTAACTACAGTAGCATTCACTTAACCCCAGCAGGATCCATTACAGTCAGTGGTGGGTTTCAAATTTTTTTAATACCCATTCTGTGGGTGTGGCTTGGTGGGCGTGGCATTGCTTGGTGGGCGTGGCTTGGTGGGCATGGCAGGGGAAGGATACTGTAAAATCTCCATTCCCACCCCACTCCAGGGGAAAGAAATCCCCATTTCCTCCCAATCAGCTGGGACTTGGGAGGCAGAGAATAGATGGGGGCAGGGCCAGTCAGAATTTTTACTACCGGTTCTCCAAACTACTCAAAATTTCCACTACTGGTTCTCCAGAACTGGTCAGAACCTGCTGAAACCCACCTCTGATTACAGTCGTAAGTCAAAGACTACCTGTGCAATCCTCAGCAGTCCTAGGAACCTTATTTATTTATTTATTTATTTATTTATTTATTTATTTATTTATTTATTTATTTATTTATTTATTTATTTATTTATTATTTAATTCAATTTGCACACTGCCCTTCTCCTAGTGGACTCAGGGCGGTGCACAGCCAGAACTAAAACACATACCAATACAAAATTTAAATTTTTTAAAAGAATTATATGACTTTGGCCCAAAATTTAAAACAAACCCATTGACAATTTAAAAAGATAAAAAAAGATTAAAAAAAAAGGGGGGGTGTCACACCAGCCCTGCTTGATGGAAAAGTTTTTAGGGCACGGCGAAAGGCCCGGAGATCCGATATCCTTCGTATCTCCGGGGGCAAATCGTCCTTGACCAATGGACAGGGATGCTAACATAGCAATAGCTCTTAGCACTTAAGACTTATCTACTGCTTCCCAGTGCTTTACAGCCCTCTCTAAGCGGTTTACAAAGTCAGCCTATTGCCCCCAACAATCTGGGTCCTCATTTTACCCACCTCGGAAGGAGAGAAGGCTGAGTCAACCTTGGGCCGGTCAGGATCGAACTCAGGGCAGTGAGCTGAATTAGCCTGCAATACTGCATTATAATCGCTGTGCCACCATGGCTCCAAAGGGATGGCATTCAGCAACTTCTTGGATGCTATAGGTTGCTTACTTCCTGTGATAAACCATGATTTATTTAATTGTGGAATGTTGAAGAAGTCACAGTTGGTTGGGTTCATGCCAAGTCATCAACCGGGATTGCAAATCACAGTGGCAAGTTTGGCATAATGTGCTACAACAAAACTCAAGAAATCATTTTTTGGCTGGATGAGACAGGTGAGCTCAGCCATTGTGTTCATGCAGAGAATGACAGAGATGACCTTGAAGAAATCAGCCGAACATTATTTAAGACCAGGACAGGAAGAAAACATTAGCAGAAAAATACAAACTAACTTTGCTCTCACTCTCTGCGGGAGGGAGGGAGGACAAATGTCAGGTTTTCAAGCCCTGAATCCATAAAGCAGAGTTCCAATATTACTTGTGGGCAGGGATGAAATCCAGCAGGTTCTGACAGGCTCTGGAGAACCAGTAGTGGAAATTTTGAGTAGTTCGGAGAACCGGCAAATACCACCTCTGGATGGCCCCAGAGTGGGGAGGGAATGGGGATTTTGCAGTATCCTTCCCCTGGAGTGGAGTGGGAATGGAGATTTTGCAGTATCCTTCCCCTGCCACGCCCACCAAGCCACACCCACAGGACTGGTAGTAAAAAAATTTGAATTTCACCACTGCTTGTGGGGCATGTTTTTTTATCTGACCTAACCTACCATAAAGGCCTGAATGAAGGATGCAAATAGGCTTTGCAGGCTTGCAAAATAGGAACTGATTTTCGGAAGGATCCCTGAGTTGCTTTTCAGGATTGCTAACTGTAGTACTGTAGTGCTTTCATTCTTTTTCTTACGTTCAGCCGTGTCTAATTCGCAGAGACTGCCTGGGCAGGTCCCTGCTGTTTTCTGGGCAAGGTCTTTCAGAAGTGGTTTGCCATTACTTCCTTCCTGGGGCTGAGGGAGTGTGATTAGCCAAAGGTCACCCAACTGGCTTTATGCCCAAAATGGGATTAGAATTTAGGATGTCTTTTTTTAAAAAAATTTTGATTTATATGCTGCCCTTCTCCGGAGACTCAGGGTGGCTTACAGTGCGTTAAGCAATAGCCTTCATGCTTTTGTATATTTTTACAAAGTCAGCTTATTGCCCCCACAAACTGGGTCCTCATTTCACCTACCTTAGAAAGGATGGAAGGCTGAGTCAACCTTGAGCCTTGGAGAGATTTGAACTTACAGTAATTGCAGACAGCTGAAGTTAAATTACAATGCATTAGTCTGCTGAGCTATCCAGGCTCAGCAGACTTAGGGTTCTTCCTGATGCCTTAACCACTACACCAAACTGCCTCTGTGTTGCAGTAGTTAAGTAGCAGTATTTAGTGCCTCTGGTGTGGATGCCATCCTCCCCTTCCAAGAGGATAAAATAGAACATAGAATAATAGAGTTGGAAGGGACCTCAGAGGTCTTCTACTCCAACCCACTCCTTGAACAGGAGACGCTATATCATTTTAGACAAATGGTTGCCCAGCCTCTTTTTGAAAGCCTTCAGTGATGGAGCACCCACAATGTCTGAAAGCAAGCTATTCCATTGGTTGACTGCAGGGGTGGGTTCTAAAATTTTTTACTACCTGTTCTGTGGGCGTGGCTTATTTTTTGGGCGTGGCTGGGTGGGGGGTAATGTGACTGGGTAGGCGTGGCCAACTTTTTTTTTTAACTTTTAAAAGCATTTTTTCCACAACCTTAAGAGATTGCAGAAAAAAAAATTGCTTTGAAAAGCCTCTGCCGATCAGGAAACTCAGCTGGGATCGTCAGAGGCTTTTCAAAGCATTTTTTTTACCACCTCTAGAGGATATTGCAAAATCCCCATTCCCTCCCCACTCCTGGGGGAAGGATACTGCAAAAATCCCCATTCCCTCCCCACTCCTGGGGGAAGGATACTGCAAAATCCCCATTCCCTCCCCACTCCTGGGGGAAGGATACTGCAAAATCCCCATTCCCTCCCCACTCCTGGGGGAAGGATACTGCAAAATCCCCAT